CTGAGGCGCCCCCGTGTGGCCGCTGGCGGGACACGCAGCCCCGCGATGGCGCGACTGATGGCAGCTGTTTAAATATTTCTGTTTAATCAGACGGTTTGTTAAAACCCAGCAAACTCCATCCGTCATCGACATCATTAACATTAGTCTTTATGAATAGCTAAATTTCATTAAATCATTAATAATTAACTCATTAAAAATTCAGTTTCATTAATAAGACCGATAGCAAATGCGGAGAGCAAATGCACTCGCTCTGTGACGGATCCTCATCCGGGCATCCGCATCCGGGCACACCAGCTCCTTTGAGCGCCTGTTTACCTTCGTAATCACGGGAGACTGCAGGCTCACAGACACGGCTAAAATGCCAAGGCGTGCCTGGGACGCAAATCTAGGACAGCCTACACCTGAGTCTGCACCTGAGACTGCACCTGAGCCCACACCTGACCCACACCTGGGCCCACACTGAGTCTGCACCTGACCCACACCTGACCCACACCTGACCCACACCTGAGCCCACACTGAGTCTGCCCCTGAGTTCATGCCTGACCCACACCTGGGCTCACATCTGGGCCCACACCTGAGCCTGTTCCTGACCCTGTACTTGAGTCTCCACCTGATTCCACACCTGTCTCTTGTACAGCCTGAATGACCAGGTTGGGCCTAATTCAGTATGATGTAGCAATAACTATTTTTGGGAACTCAATCAATAATAGAGACACTGAATGTCTAAAACATCTCGAAGAGAACCAAAGGCAGACACATTTTAAATGCAAGTACTGTTAGTTCAGCCAGAGCCGGAGGGGGGGGGGTCTCAAAGTGTGAACAATTTCCTGATTTTTGGTAAATGTTCTAGTGAAGGAATGAGTCACACTTCCTGCGTGCCAGGGACTGAGCACAGCGATGTGAGCTTCTCAAGCTGGGGGAAGAAGGAAGGACCCTGTGTGTGCGGAGGGGGGCTTCAAGGAGACCTCCTGCAGGGCAGGTGGTGACAGGGCTGCACCAGACGGACCCTGATTAGTTCATGCCCTGCACTGGGACGCAGGCGGTGGATGGGCACTTTCCCAGGCCCTCTCTCTGAGGGCAGCCACGGTGCACCGTCAGTCCCAGCACATCCCTGCCACGGCTGGCCTCCTGCAGGTACCAGGTGCCCTTGCCCGAGGCCCTGGCAGGTGGCTGTGATCCCACTCTGCAAACTCTATCAGCTGGAATCCTGTCCCATCTGAAATGCTTTTCTATCATCTTTCCTCTGAGTTGAAAAGTCAGGACAATTTGTTGATTTTGATTAGAAAACACATCTATCTTATAGTCCAGCCCTTCTCATCAGCAAATGTAGTCTGGCATTGTTTTCCAGAAAATTCTGGAAGGTTCTACCATTGTAATCACAAAGGGGCTGGGTGAGTGTGGGGTCAGAGCCAGGGCAGATCTTAGGTCCTCCTTCAAGCACCAGGGAAGGGGTGGGCCTGCCTCCAGGAAGAGCTTGTCCCCAGGCGCCCACAAGAACGCACACTTACCCACTTGTGACCTGAACCTCCCCCTCCGTTTTTATTAGGAAAGTGATAGGAAACATTCTAACTCCCAGAAACGCGGGGTTCAGGAGCTGCTTCTTCTCCCTGCTTCCTGGTGGCACCGGGGCTGCAGTATCATTTTCCTTAGATCACAGCAAAGTGGGACTTTCTGTGGTGTGTAAAAGTCAAAATAATTCTATAGGTAACACGATGTGATGTGTGTGACAAACAGCTGATCCCTCCCTGGCGGCCCAGTGATCCCCCTCCCCCTCCCCTCTGCTGCAGCTCTTACTTCTCTGCCTGCCCGGGATTTTTGACTTTTCCAGCGACGGCCACCCTGGGCTCCTGGCCACCTCTGGGCTCCCCCGTGGGTCGGGGAGGCACTGGACGCTGACCGTGGGCCTCAGAGCAAAATGGCTGTGAGTCCTTTCCTCCAACGTTGACTCTGAGCTTCCTGGATCCCCAGGCCTCTCTCCTCTGCCGCCTGGGCGTTACTCACCCCCTGCTGCCCATGGGAAGCTTGCCGTTTCCACTAATTTTCAGCTAGGTTTTGACAGGGGCCTGGTCCCGCCAAGCACAGCCTTAGCGTAACCAAGAGAAGCTCTCTGATTTTCCTTCGGCGAGCGGCGTTAGAACGGAGCTCTTTAAGAAAGAAGGGCCACCCTCAGCAGACACTGCGCACCTAGCCGCAGCTGCCACGGCTCGGACCCTCTTCCTGACCCTATTTCGGAGCCTCCGGCGGGTGCCGGGCCCGTCACCGCCTCTGTGACCCGACGCAAGGGTAGTGGCATCTCCGTGTGGCCTCGGTTTGCATCTCCTTCGTGACTCATGGTGGCAGACATCCATGGTAAGTGTGCCTCACACACTCGACAATGATGTGTTTTCGGCAATTGTTGGGTGCAAGGTTCTGTAAACGTGCATCATGTCCGCCGGGCTGACGGTGCTTCTAAGTCCTTACCTGTTGCTGAAGCGTCCGAGCCCCGCCCTTCAGTTCTGCCCGGTTTCCTGTTGCATTTTGAGGTCTTCCTGGCGGCTGATTCCTTTGTCGCAACAGGGCACTCCTCGTTTCCCCTGGGATGCCTCATGGTCCGACGTGGGCACCGCAGCTCTCTGACGCTGGCCGGCCGGGGGCACCCCTGTCCTGGAGACATGCGGCCTGGGTCCTCGTGCTTGAAGTGGAGTTGGGTCCTGGCGTGCGTCTCAGTCTGATGACCTCTGTCTTTGTTTCTGCCTTTGTGTTGTGTGCACTTTTCCATACAGTTGGCTCGAAATCCCCCTTTCTTGTTTGTTTCGTAACAGTCTTATCTTGGGATTTATTTTGTATCTGTTCTGCTTTTTCTTGCTCGGTTCCTCCACTCCTACCTTTTTTCAGAATTTTTTTGGCACTTCATTTTCTAAAATGTTTATTTATTTATTCATTTAGAGAGAGAGGGAGAGAGAGAGCGAGAGAGAATGTGTGCCAGTGAGCGGGGGAGGGGCAGAGAGAGGGAGACAGAATCCGAAGCCGGCTCCAGGCTCGAGCCGTCAGCGCAGAGCCTGGCTCAGGGGTCGATCTCGTGACGCGGGGATCATGACCTGAGCTGAAAGCAAGAGTCAGACGCTCCACCGACGGAGCCACCCAGGCGCCCCTGGTATTTCACCTTAATTTACTTCCTCTGCTGGCCTCTTAGTCATGCCTCTTCGTGCTCTGCTTTTAGTAGTCGTTCTGGGGATCATGACTGGGCCCGTGGCGTGCCACAGGCTGTCGGCCCCTCAGCGGGTGTGAGATCCCAGCGGGAGCACGGAACCCACACTCTTCTGGCCACCGTGCTCCCTTCCGCACACACTGGAACCGTAATCGCATACTTTCTGCTTCAAGAGTGTGCGCCACAGGTCAGGCTCCTTGGGAGGCCGCGGCTGGCTGGGAGTTGTGGGCACAGACCTGTCACCGCAGACAGGAGCTGAGAATGGCGAGGGCGCCGCCGCGGATGGGTGCTCAGCCACTGCCCGGGCACTGCCCCCGGGAGCTGGCGGCCTCTTCAGGCCGTTCCCTCCCTTCTTCCCTCTCTCCCCTCTCCCCTCTCCTCTCCTCCTCCCTCCCTCCCTTCTCCCCTCTCCGCCTCTCTCCCCTCTCCGCCTCTCTCCCCTCTCCCTCCTCCTCTCCCTCTCTTCTCTTCCTGCCTCCCTCCCTCCCCTCCCCTCTCCCCCCTCCCTCCCTCCCATCTCCCCTTCCCCCTCTCCCCACTCCCCCTCTTCCTCCCCCTCCCCTCTCCCTCTCTTCTCCCCTCTCCCTGCCCTTTCCCTCCCCTCTCCTCTCCCTCCTCCTCTCCCTACCTCCCCTCCCCTCTCCCCCTCTCCCTCCCCTCTCCTCTCCCCCTCTCCCCCTCTCCTCCTTCCTCTCCTCTCCATCCCCTCTCCTCTCCCTCCCCTCCCCTTTACTCTCCCTCCTCCTCTCCCTCTCCCTCCTCCTCCCTCTTCTCTCCCTCCCTCCCCTCTCCCCCTCTCCCTCCCTTCTCCTCCTTCCTCTCTTCTCCCTCCCCTCTCCCTCCCCTCTCCTCTCCCTCCTCCTCTCCCTCTCCTCTCCTTCTCCCTTCCCTCTCCCTCCCCTCCCCTCCCCTCTCCCTCCTCCTCTTCCTCTCCTCTCCTCCTCCCTCCTCTCTCTCTCTCTCCTCCCCTCTCCCTCCCCTCTCCCTCCCCTCTACTCTCCCTCCTCCTCTCCCTCTCCTCTCCTCCTCTCTTCCCTCCCCTCCCCTCCCCTCCCATCCCCTCTCCCCCTCTTTTCTTGCTCATTTGCCTCTTTCCTGCTCCTGAGTCACCAGCGTATTTTCATTTCAGACACTGAGCTCTTTCCCAAGACCCTGTCCTCCTGGCCAGGAGGGAGAGGGCGGCATCTGGGGCTGCCCTTAACTTGTTCCTTTCTCTGGCTCCAGTGGGAGCACTGCACTTTCCTGGTCTCCACTCGGCTCTGTTGTTGCCCGTGTTGTGTGAGAGGTCACTCCATGATGTTACATGATGGCCGGCCTGCAGGGTAGGTACGAGGCCAGTGAGGAAGAAGTGATCTCCTTGGGATGGGGTGTTGCCCCACGGATAAGGGCCTGGCCCCACACCCCTTGGGCCCGTTCTGAGTCCTTTTGTCTGTGGCCCTTCCTCCAGGACACGTTTCTTATTCCTAAGGCCTGGCCTTCTCGGGTATCCCCAGACTGTGACCCCCAGGAGACCCCCGTTTGGACAGGGCAGGGACACGGTGGCTTGCCCTGCACATAGGGCAGGCAGCCTCGGACAGTGATGTGGGGGCCCCAGGCTCTGGGCCTGGGCCGTGGAGTCAGGTGCGTCTGCGTCTTCCTGTGGGTCCTGCTTCCCCAGGCCCCACCCCCTAGGGCCTACAGTCAGCTTCTGCCTGCCACCCAGTGCCTGCAAGCAACCGCCCTGTGTTTGTCTGATTTTCTACCTGTTTGTGGTGGGAGGGCGTTTGCGGTCACTCGCCACGGCCAGAGGAGAGGTTCCGAGCATCCTAGCAGCTCAAGGGCACAGGTCGCCTGAGTGCCGGATGGGAGAGCTAACAGCGGGCACGGGGAGTGAGAGCCCAGTGCCACGCCACCCCCCACGACAGAGCTCACCAGGGACAGGAACGCAGACACCCTCAGTGTGCTCCCTCCACGGGCCGTGGCTGTGGCTTGGGGGGACCTGGGTCAGCCCGGCTGCCTTTTCCAGCGATGCCCGGCTTCTTGGGCAAAAATTCTGAGTGTGGGTCTCAGAGCCGCGGCGGCAGGCAGCAAGGCCTGGGTGATGGCAGAAACCCCGTGGAGGCGGGGACACACGTCCTGGGGTGGGGGTGGGTGGCGGGCGCAGGGCAGGGCATCGGGGCAGGGCTGTGGGCTGTGCGGAATGCTGGTGGGTTCGAACGGGCTCATCCTCCATGAACAGACCCTCGGAGATGTGGAACCACACCGGGGCAGGTGAAGAAGTCAGGCCCTTCCCTGGTGGATGCGGAAGAGGACTGTCTGTCTTGCAGCCGCCCCGAACATTCCAGAGGGTCTGGACTTAGGTCGTTGGTCCCCTGTTTGGGCCACGTGGTGAGCTGACTTCTCACCCCACCGACCTGGTCACACGTGGAGGTGTGTTCACAATCTACGGGCTCTGGTGCACCTGTTCCGGGAGAACTCGCCCAGCGGTCCGGTCCCCGCCGCGACAGTGAGACTCACCCTTGACCCCGGGCCACCCGCTGAAGTTCAAGCTCCTGGTCTTGTCCTTTTGCACTGTCTTGTCCCGGTCTGAGCACGAGCCAGGCCTCCTCCTGGGGTGGGGCTGCGGGCGGGTGGGGGGGCAGAGGAGGGGTCTACACAGGGGCGACTGGAGGGTTGGCTGAGCTCACAGCACACGTGGCCTGGGTCTTCTCTCTCAAATGGGGAAGGAACACTTGGAAGTTTGTAGGGAAGAAACGCACGGTTCACCACGCTTGTGTTGGGGAGGGGCAAGCCCTTCGAGGCTGGGCTGTGGGGGGGGGGTCACTGCAGAGGACAGCGGATGGTAGGCTTCCCTCCGCGCGCAAGGGTTTCCTGAATGTGCTTCTGGTTCTGTTACCCCTGAGCCGTGAGCCACGGCAGTGAGCCAATCTGGCAGGCAGTGCGGGGCGTCTTCCAGAGAGACCAGAGAGAAGGACGTGGGGTCTGGAAACCAGTCAGGGAGGCATTCTCCTTCGGTCCCCCCCAGCCCCTGGGGGGTGGCACTTGGAGTTCAGCCTGTGGGGGAGGGGTGGGCGCAGGGGGAGGGGCCAGGGCCCCCTGGTCTAAGTGAGCGGCTCTGCAGCAGGTGTGTGTGCTGTGGACCCCGGTCCAGACCCCGGTTTGAGGGGCCCCCCTGACTGCCCTCCCCCATCCCCTGCCCTGCAGCTGTGTCCTGGGGCTCAGGCCGTTGAGTATCTGACTCTTGATTTCAGCTCAGGTCGTGGGGCCGAGCCCCCCGTTGGACTCTGTGCTGACAGCTGGAACCTGCTTGGGATTCTCTCTCTGTCTCTCTGTCTCTGTCTCTCTCTCCCCCTCCCCTACACTCTCGCTTGCTCTGTCTGTCTCCCTCTCCTTCTCTCTCTCAAAATACATAAGTAAACATTAAAGGCAGAAAATAAAATCAAGGTGTCAGGGGGGCTGGTGCCTCCCGGGTGCCCCTGGGGGCTGGGGCACCTCCAGCCTCTGACCCTGGCCCCCTGCCTCCCTCCTTCCCTAGCACCATTGACGGATGGGTCATTGGCGAGGGACACCCTGTAAAGTTAGGGTGTCCGGTGATGATCTGATGCACGGGTACGATGTGATGCAGCCACCACAGTAAGGTTAGCTAACACCTCCGTCCCCTCCCACGTGACTCGTCACCGCTGGGAGAGGAGAGGGAATGAATATAGGGACGGTAGGCTTGGTGGCTGGTGTGGGGACAGCGACGCCTGGAGGGAGAGAACACCCTGAGTGTGAAGCCTGAGGACCCCCTCCCCTCCTCCAGCCTGAGCAGAGAAACCCAGGGCCTGCTCAGCTACCCCCCGAGTGGGGCCTGTTCCTACGACGGCAGGTGTGTGTGCGGGGTGGGGTGGGGACCTGACGGGGGCAGGCAAGCCTCGGGAACCCCCCTGGGAGCAGGGCCCCTCCCTGTCGGGAGGCACCCGCCCTCGCGGCCACGGGGCCAGCGGCAGAGGACGGTGTGTGTGAGCCTTGCATTTCGTTTTAAAACCTTTTCTGTTCTATGAAACTTCTGTACAGTAGCTAGTACTGAACTCCAGAGCTCAGCTCGGGGCGCTGGGACAACTGTGAATGCGGGGAGGCTCCACCCCAAAAAGGTGCAGACCATCTGTCCCCACAGCCAGTTCCCCACCCGCCTGGAGGCAGAGGGGCTGGCTGGGGGCCTGCAGGGTGGGTGGCTCCGCCTCCTTCGCTCTACATGCAAGCTCACCCCACCCACGCTGAGCCACTGGGGACTGCTCACCTGCCCCCCACCAGACCTGTCCTGAGCCCCTGGGGGGGTCCTTGGGGCTGTGGCTGCTCCCTCCCCACCCCCACCCGTCCCGAGCCCCTCAAAGGCCCTTGGGACTGGGGTCAGCTCACCTCCCCCCATGCCTCCTGTGTCAGAACCTGCTCAGCTTTGCCCAGGTGATTAGTGGTGGGGACCCCAAAAACGTGGCTGGTCAACTGCCTGATGTCCCTTGGCTTCTATGTTAGTGGGAGGGGTAATGGGCTCTTGACGGACAGCAAGGAGGGTGTGGCTGTTCTGGAAGGTTCCGCACAGCCTCACAGCAAGGGCTGCTGTGTGAAAAGGCTCTTCCACCCCGCAATGGTCTAACTGGACACCCCAGCTCCCTAGCGTTGACAGTAAATGCGTTCTAAGTTTACCATCAGATAAAGTTACCCTCAGCAGCTCTGGGCTCTGCGAGCATCAGCGAGTGACTTCTGTTCAGGAACTATTTTGGGTATTAATACCCACGCTTCCCAGTGTGTTATCAGTGGAATCTCCTGAGTCATGAGTGATGACAGACAGTCTGGGGATGGCCGGAGGGACATGGCTGGTGTCGCAAAGGCACAGTCGCTGGGTTCTGTCCACTTGTTCATTTGGCCAGACAGACACCCCTGCTCGGTGTCGGGGTCTGGGCCTTTCTTCCTGGATGTTCATGCTCGCCTGTCTGGTCTGTGCTCTGCTCTGGGGGTGCCCTACGAGGAACTTGCGTGGCTCTGAGTGTCACTTAGATGTAGGCATCAGTGTTTTCTCTGGGGAGTCTCCCATGACCTGCGAAGTCCTGCTCATCCTGTCTCCCTGCCAACTGGATCAGAGGGTCAAACGAAACAAAACCCAAACCCTGTAAGCAGTTACATCTGGAGAGAGGACACAGACCGGATCCCGTCCCCCGAACGGGGGTCCTGTGTCACTGAGGATGAAGTGCAGTGGTGACAGCAGGGCGGACGCAGTGAGAACGGGGGTGGTGGGCTTTGGGCTCACACGTCGGGACGGGTGCTGGCTGCAGTCTGGGTCCCCGTCGGCTGATGTGGCCCAGGTCCTCTGGTGGCCTGGCCTCCGCTGTGTGCTCGGTTTTCTTGCCCCAGGACTCCAGGGTGGTCACAGCCATAGCTGGGGTGCCAAGGGACAGGACAAGTGCGGCCAAGCACTGAACCCCGACCCTAACAACCTTCGTGGCTTTGGAAACACATACCTTTCCTTTTTAAAAAAAATTAAAACAAATTTATTTTAGAGAGAGAGAGAGAGAGAGAGAGAGAGAGAGAGAGAATCCTAAGCAGACTCCATGTTCAACTGTGAGCCTGACGTGGAGCTCAACCCCATGACCCGGGATCATGACCTGAGCTGAAATCAAGAGTCAGATCCTCAACCCACTGAGCCACCCAGGCGCCCTGAATACACAACTTTCCAATCCTGAACTTTCCAACTATAAAAATAAGGATTTTTAGTTTCCCGAGATGTTGTGGCTAATGTATGAAGTATTTAAGAGAATTCTGCACAAGCACAGAGCTCTACCCAGCATCACACGAGGCCACATCCTGGGGTTGAGTTTACGCGTGTATTTCGATCAAAGGCAAGAAAGAGCCGAGTTCTAGGCTGCAGGCAGGAGACTGGAGCCCAGGACAGGTGCCTGTGGCTTCTTAGGGGCTAAAAACACCACGGGAGCTTCCAATGTGTGTAAATGTTAAAGGTATGAAGAAAAGTTTGCACAAAACATGTAATCTGATAATGTTGGGCTTTATTGGGTACCTGCCATGTGCTGGGGGGAGGATGACGCCGTGATGGGACCTGTGGCCGCGGGGACGGGGGATGAGCAACTCCTCCGACTCCCGCTTGCGCTCAGGCCCCGCAGCCTCAGGCTGCCGTCGTGTCTCGTGCGTGGGAAGGCTGGGGGCCCAGCAGGCACGGCCGCGTGGGGGCCTCGGGGGGGGCCCTGCAGCATCTTGTTCCTGCCCTCCAGCATCCGAGCCCACTCGCCGCGGAGCCTAGGACAACGATAATTTTGGCCTGTGAGTCAGCTGTGGGCCGGCGGCAGCCAGGCCTCTGTCGGCACCTCTTCACATGTTCCCGTGCAGCCGTCCCCTTCCAGGCGGCCAGTGGCCGTGACCTTGCGGGTCCCAGAGAGCCCTGCCACCTTGGAGGCCCGGCCGGTCCCGGGGGGGCGGGCGACGGCCCAACACGGAGGGGCTCACTCCGGTCCCCAGCCCGGAGAGGGAAAATGCTCTGTCCAGGAAGCAGCTTCTGGAAACTTCTGAGGCTGGGAGAGACTTGAGCCATGTCCTGAATTCCTCCTTTGTCAGTGGGCCTGGTTTGTTGTGTAGGAGATGTGCTCAGGGGGACCGGACAGAGTCTCCACGGTCGGCCGGGGCCCTCTCACCAGCGCCCTCGCACGGGCTCCTGCCGGGGTACTCCCAGCCGCCTGCCTAGCCCTCCTGCCCGCTGGTGGCGCATTGCCATGACCACAGCATGACACACGGGGTGACTGGGTGGGAACAGACCTGAATATCCATGTGTAGGCCGCGGCCCTGCTGTGTGGTTTGGGTTTGGAGGGCGCGGTGTGGGCTGGGAGCCCAGCTCCCGAACACCTCTGGGTCTGGAGGACAAACTGGTAGGAGTCGTGCACATAGATGCTGTTCCAGCAGCCGGAGACGTGAATGAGGAAGGTGCCTCGAAGGAGCAAGACGTTAGTCTGGTGTCACGTGAGGGCCATGTTCCTGTCCCCTCACCAGGGCGCAGCTGCTGACTGGCTGGGCCCAGGGCCAGACATGGCTCCCGGGAGCACGTAGGATGGCTGTGGGGCTGCTGTGGGGATTGCTGTTGTCCAGCAGACAGGGAACAATCTTTCTGGCCAGGTCTGCGGCCTAATAACTAGCCCCATATCCCCCACAGAAGGTCACACTCCACAGTCTGTCCCTGAGCAGCCCGGACCCTCAGTGACTAACCCAGCCACTGCCGACCACACTGTCACTGTCTGACCCGGCGCCCGTTCCTGGGACCCGGGTCTGTGGGCAGAAGACCCAGAAGTTTCCAGGGTCTGAAGGTGCACGTAGGACAAGGCTGAGGCCGTGGCGCCCTCACGCGGGAGCCGAGGGCTGGCAGGAGGCATTAGTGGGAGGTCCCTTCTTCCCGTGTTCGGGCTGTGTGTGAGGTGGGGGGCTGAGCCATGCAGAGAGGAGGGACGCCCTGGCCTCCCGTACTGAGCCTGTCGGGGACACGTGTGCTGGATGACAAGTGAGGTGTCCTGGATGATGGCAGCCGGGCCTCCGGCAAGGTCAGCACCAGACCTGGTCCCACTGCCCCTCCGGGAACCCTCCTTTCCAACTGGGCGCCCAGGGCAGCAGCTGCTGGGGTATTTGAGGATGAAAGCTGTGGTCACTCTGGAATATCTGACCATCTGAGCCCTTGTCTAGGAGCGAATTATGTGCTAACCTGCCCTTTTAGCTGTCCCTGAGACCAGGCACCCCTGAGTCTGCTCGGGGTCACCTAGGAGACCCTCTTCTGCACCCACAGACCCCTCGCCTTATCTCAGGGAAGAAAGGGGTTTTGGGTCTGCAAACGTGTGGGAAGGAGTGTGATGATTTAGCCTGCGCTCTGGCGGGGGTGGGGGGAACGGTCAGAAAATCAGTCTGCGCCAGACAAGGCTTCTTTGATAACTTCTAGCAAGACCTTCTGGAGTGGGGGATGGGGGGCAGGGGGTGGGGGGAGGGAGGAAGGGTTGCAGGGATGGGGAGTGGAGGGCTGGGTGGTGGCAGGTGGGCTGGTAGGTGTTAGTGGGTGGGGTTGCAGGGATGGGGCATTCTCCTCCCCAGCCCAGTGATCACAGTTCTAAGCTGAGTCAATGCGAGTGGTGTTCCGTGGTTGCAGCCGCTCCTCCTGTGACTGAATCTGAGGGCAGTGCCGGTGTCTGGATGGTGATGGCCGAGCGGCCCCAGGCCGTGCTCTGCAGCGAACTCACCTGTCCAGGGCGCTCCTGCGGGTCCTCATGTCCTCGCTCTGCAGTTGTTTTGTGTGCAGCTCGATCTTTTCCTCCCAAAACTTCTTGATCACACCAGCATCGTAGGCTATTCTTCCAGGCTGCTTCAGAGTGTAGCTTTTGCTCATCTTCTGTCAAAGGGAAAATTGATGACACTTAGCCGTTTTGTGCTGTGTTGGTTGGACTGCACAGGGAGTGGGCGTGTTAACCATGAGGAGGATTCAGCCTCAAATCCCTGATTCTCGGAGCAGGGTGGTTCTCAGAACACCCACGTGGGGACCCCCACACCGAATCTGTCAGGGAGGTAGTCGGTAGGCACGCCTGAGAGCAGCCTCCGGGGTCTGACCTAATAAGGGTTAGTATCCCAAATCTAAGGCAGGGGTGCCTGGGTGGCTCAGTCAGTTAAGCATCCGACTTTGGCTCAGGTCATGATCTCCCCGTTCTGAGTTTGAGCTGTATGTTGGGCTCTGTGCTGACAGCTCAGAGCCTGGAGACTGCTTTGGATTCTGTGTCTCCCCCTCTCTCTCTCGTGATCTGTTTCTTTCTCTCTCTCTCTCAAAAATAAAAAAAAAAACATTAAAAAATAAAAAAACACACACAAAAACAAAATTTGTAAAGAACTTACACAATTCAGCACACAAAACAAAACAAAAACCAAACAATTCCATTAAAAATGGGCAAAAGATATGAACAGACACTTTCCCCAAAGAAGACACCCAGATGGCCAATAGACACATGAAAAAATGCTCAACATCACTCATCTTCAGGGAAATACAAATCAAAACCACAATGAGATGTCACCTCACACCTGTCAGAATGGCTAAAATCAACAGCACAGAAAACAGGAGGTTTTGGGGGGGACACAGAGAAAGGGCAACCCTCTTACACTGTTGGTGGGAATGCAAACTGGTGCAGCCATGGCCAAAAACAGTATGGAGATTCTTCAAAAAATTGAAAATAGAACTACCTTATGACCTCAAAGTTCCATGATTGGGTATTTACAACCCCCCCCAAAACAAAACCCACTAATTTGATATATACACCCCCATGTTTATAGCAGCACTATCTACAATGGCCAAGATATGGAAGCAGCCCAACTGCCCATTGACTGATGATGGATAAAGAGGATGTGGTGTATAATATACAGTGGAATATCACTCAGCCAGAAAAAAGGGATGAAACCTCGTCATTTGTGACAACCTGGGTGGGCCTAGAATATATTATGCTGAGTGAAACAAATCAGCCAGAGAAAGACAAAAACCATAGAATTTCACTTATACGTGTTATCTAAAAAACAAAACAAATAAGCAAAGAAGCAGGAAGAGACCCATAAATGCAGAGAATGCGCTGGTGGTTGCCAGAGGGGAGGGGCGGAGCTGGAGAGAGGGGCGCAGGGGAGAGGGAGGGCCAGGCTTCCGGTTACGGGCAAAGGAGTCCCGGTGCGGGAGGCCCAGCACGGAGACCACAGCCAGTGGCGCTGGAGGAGCGTCGCGCGGTGACCGCCGGGAGCTACTCTCGTGGGAGCACGGCGTCTTGCCCACGCCATCCGGTCACCGCGTTGTACACCTGAGAGTGACGTGACGTCTTGTGTCAACTACACTCAAGTTAAAAAATTACAAGAAGGGACTTGAAGTTGACATTTAACAAAACTCATCCCCTGACATCATGCTTCACACACGCTTGTTTTGAAGCTGGAGCCACCGAGTTCCGGGAGTGAACTCTCCCAGGAACCAGAGGCCACTGTGCCCAGGGGGAGGGACACCTGGACACAACGGGGACGCGCTGGGGGACCTGCAGGAGCAGGGTGCAGACTGAAAACAGTGAGATGGACCAGGTGATGCCCCTGCCATCAGGACCCTTGCGGACCGGGCTTCGATGCCTCCTCTGCCTGGCCCTCCCTTCGGGCCCCGTGGTGGCACCTTGGGGACAATCACAGGGAAGAGGCTAGGAGCTTCCATGGCTGTTTGGCTGGAATTTTGTGTGGGTCCCATAAAAAAAAAAAAAGGGCTTTATGTCTTTTATTATTTTTTTTTTAATTTTTTTTAAACGTTTTATTTATTTTTGAGACAGGGAGAGACAGAGCATGAACAGGGGAGGGTCAGAGAGAGGGAGACACAGAATCTGAAACAGGCTCTAGGCTCTGAGCTGTCAGCACAGAGCCCAACGCGGGGCTCGAACTCATGGACCGAGAGATCATGACCTGAGCCTAAGTCGGCCGCTTAACTGACTGAGCCACCCAGGCGCCCCGGGCTTTATGTCTTTTAAATGTCACTTCCTACAATTGATTTTGTTGTGCTTTACCAGAGTGCCAGCAAGGCTCCAGCTGGCCACTCCTTCCAGAAGCTTCCAGAAGCCTGCCTGACCTCTCCTGGGGACCCAGTCCTTTCCTCTCTCACTGTTGGGATCTCTCTTGGAAGCATCTGCAGCACCCAGGAAGGCACGTAAAACACCTGCACAGTTGGGGCCCGTGGGTGTGTGCAAACATTTAAGTGAGCAGGACACGAATGAATTAGCATTGTGAAAGTGGGGGGCCTGGGCCAGACCTCAGGGTGATCATTGGCCCTCAGCCCCTCCTGCAGCCGGTGTGTGGCGGGATCCCTGGGGACCCTGTGACCTTTGGGGTGAAGGCAGTGAGGGAGTTTCCTTCCCTGACCTGTTGCTGGCTGAGTTCAGGGGTTGAAGTTGAGGGAGAAACCCCCTCCCCACCCCCAGGGCCTCTGGGCTCACGCTGCAGGTGGGCAGGGCCAGCTCCTGGGGGAGGCCCTGGGGGCACAGGCAGCAGAGCTCGGCCCCGGGACATGAGCCCAGAGGTGGGTGGAGGTCAGCTGGGGGGCACCTGCCTCAGTCCAGCAGGGCTGCCCCAATTGTGTTCACTGGGGCTTCTGAAAGCAAATCAAGACCTGTGTCCCTCCCTGCCCCCCCATTAACCAAGGTCAGGAGGAGACGGGGAGTCTCATTAGAAGTTGAGACTTCTGTGCTGGCAACAGAAAGTAGGGGACCCAAGAGGAGGGCCCCTGTGCTCTGGAGAGTGACTCAGTGCTGGCCTCCAACAAGGGTGGAGGGACCTGGGACCTGGGAGGACAGGGGTCCTGGGGAAGAGGGGCAGGGGTCCCCAGGATGGGGCAGGGGTTCTGTGGGGGAGGAGGGGTCAGGGGTTCCTGGGAGGAGGGGGGTAGAGGTCAATGGGGGGAGGGCAGGGGTCCAGGAGGGAGGAGGGGCAGGGTCCCGGGAGGGAGGAGGGGCAGGGCCCCAGGAGGTAGGAGGGGCAGGGGTCCCCAGGATGGGGCAGGGGTTCTGTGGGGAGGAGGGGTCAGGGTTTCCTGGGAGGAGGGGTTAGGGGTCAATGGGGGGGAGGGCAGGGGTCCCCAGGAGGGGTCAGCAGTTCCTGGGATGAGGGGTCAGGGGTTCCTGGGAGGAGGGGATTAGAGGTCCCTGGGAAAGGAAGAGGGCAAGGGTCCCTGGGAATAGAGGGGCAGGGGTCCCTGGGAGGGAGGAGGGACAGGGTCCCGCGAAGGAGGAGGGGCAGGGTCCCCAGGAGGGAAGAGGGGCAGGGTCCCCAGGAGGGAAGAGGGGCAGGGGTCCCAGGAGGGAGGAGGGGCAGGGTCCCTGGAGGGAGGAGGGGCAGGGGTCCCAGGAGGGAGGAGGGGCAGGGTCCAGGGAAGGAGGAGGGGCAGGGGTCCCGGGAGGGAGGAGGGGCAGGGGTCCCGGGAGGGAGGAGGGACAGGGGTCCCAAGAGGGAGGAGGGGCATGGTCCCAGGAGGGAGGAGGAGCAGGGTCCCTGGAGGGAGGAGGGGCAGGGTCCCGGGAGGGAGGTGGGGCAAGGGTCCCTGGAGGGAGGAGGGGCAGGGTCCCGGGAGGGAGGAGGGGCAGAGGTCCCAAGAGGGAGGAGGTGCAGGTTCCCAGGAGGGAGCCTGCCCTCTGGGTTTGTGATGTTGCTGATGCTCAGCTTCCAGGAGGTCTCTGGTTTCAGGACGGGGTGGCCGTGGAGTGTGGCCATGATGAGCTGATACGTGGTGGACAAGCCTGTACCATTGGTTGCCTGGCAGAGTTAGTGTCCTGGGCTGCGGAGCAGACGGTCCCCGGTTACAGCACTGCCCCCGAGGCCACCCAGGCCGGCCTGGCACAGACCACCTCACTGGACTTCCAGAAGGGGTAACCGTTGGTCTGAAATCGCCCTGACTTGGGGCCGAATGTGCCAGAACATGGCAAAGAAGTCAGTCCTGCTATTTGAGAGAAAGTGGTCCAGGCAGGCTGACTGATGTCACCTGCAGCCAATCCTTTTGGCTCCTGCTCTCAGGTCAGCCGTGAGGGCACACGGAGCCTGGGTCCTGTGGGTGTGCCCGCCACGCCTGGTCCTGGGTCTCCGCGGGCGGCTGGCCCCGTGCTGCAGCCCCAGGTTATAGGAGGAGCCGGGGTGACGGTCCAGGGCCCGGGCTTCTCTGAACAAGGGTGCATCCCCAGCCTGCAGCTGCCTGAGCCCCACACGGCCCTGGGAACGTCCTGGCTGTCGGAGCTCGGGGACACGAGGCCCTGCGTCCCCACTCATGTCTCGGGACAGGCCCTCCCTTTACTGCATGACTTGCACCCTGATGGGGAACAGACACACCAGCGTCTTCCCAGTTGGGGGAAAGCGAAGGGCTCGTGTGCCCCCAGCACGTCACCCCCTTCGGCGGGCACCGTGCCGTATCACGTGGCAGCTGCCGCCGTGACCGTCCAGCCGTGGATGCAGGTACAGTAGCCGTGGGGCCGCGCAGACCGTCAGGAGGGGTGTTGTGAGCACTTTAATGCTTTTCTCGAGGCTTCCATACAGATGCAAAAAGTCAGCCGTGGGCGCCCTCTCTGATGTTCCGGAAACCTACCGACGCGCGGTTTACTGGAAAGGCTGCGCCCAGCCGCGCCGGCAGCTGGGAGTCGTGCTGAGCCCACACACCTGCGGGCACCCACCCCTGGCGGTCCGCGGGGGGGCAGCGCGCCTGCTCGTGCCTCTGGGCGGAACCCCCCACAGGAACCCCCCTCGGAGGCGCGTTCGTTCACACCAGTACAAGCGGGAGGCCCAGCCCTTGCTGCCCTCCCCTGCGCTCCCCTGCAGGGCTCCCGAGGAGGCTCAGCCCTGCCAACCCTCGTGGGGGAGAGACAGACAGACAGCGAGAAATCCAGAAAGCAGGTGGAGGACCCGGAGCGAACACAGACCCCGGAGCCGGACGCGGGATGAACTCAACGCCAGCTGGGTCTGCACCCGGGGCGTCGCCACCAGAAACCCGCCTGGAAACAGTCACCGCGAAGTTGAATTCTCGTGTGCGCCCCAACCCCCCTCCGTGGTGCTCACGTATTAGGGGCCCCCAGATGCCACCCTGCCTCCCGCCAGCGAGCTCGCCCGGCACATCAGAGCTTACTCTGCAGGTGACTCTCGGCCCAGTCACTGGGCGTCCTGGGGTGTCTTCCCCGGGGTGGGCGCCCTCTGTCTCTCCAGAGCTCACCCGCTGGTCTCGCCCGTCACTCACTTATATGGGCTTCATATAGTGACGCGCACTTGGCCTCAGGTCAGTTGCTGGGACAGCGAGCTGTCTTCTGTCTGGCTGCAGATCCCGAGATGTAATTTGGCTCCTGGCACGTAGCTGTTGGTGCACACGTGTCCCTCGGTCCTCCGTCCAGAAATGTGGAGTCTGCTGGCCTCGCTCCCTGCCTCCCTGCCGGATGGCGTTACTAGCGGCCGACAGTTTGGTTTTCTTGAGACGCTGCTCCCGAGGAGCCTGGGGGGTTGACAGGGAGCCGGAGGGCAAGGAGACAGTGGCACCCAGGTGTCGCCGTCCCCCGAGAGTGTGGGCTGCCTGGGCACCGCGCAGGGTCATGGGCCTGGTGTGAGGAGTGGTGGCCTTTGCGGTATTTTTTGTTTATTTTTTAAAGTTTATTTATTTATTCTGAGAGAGACCGAGAGAGACAGTGTGGGAGGGGCAGAGAGAGAGGGAGAGACAGAATCCCAAGCAGGCTCTGCACCGTCAGCACAGGGCCCGATGTGGGGCTCGATCTCACAATCTCGGAGTCGTGACCTGAGCTGAAATCAAGAGTCCGATGCTTAACCGACTGAGCCACCTGGACGCTCTGCCTTTGCATTTACTTTGATTTGTATTTATTTAGCTTTACTGGATCCTCATGTGCATTCATGTTACAAGCTAACTTTATTATTATTTTATTTTTTAATATAATTTGTTGTCGAGTTGCTAACATACAGCGTGTACATGGTGCTCTTGGCTTCGGGAGTAGATCCCCGTGGTTCATCACTCACATACAACACCCAGTGCTCATCCCAAGAGGTGCCTCCTCAATGCCCCTCACCCCTTTGCCCTCCCCCCTCCCCCCATCAGCCCTCAGTGTGTTCTCTTATTTTAGAGTCTCTTGTGTTTTGCTTTCCATCTCTGTTGGTAACTATTTCCCCCTTCCCCTCCCCCATGGTCTTCTGTTCCGTTTCCCAGGATCCACATATGAGTGAAAGTATCTGTCCTTCTCTGGCTGACTTATTTCACTCAGCATAATCATACCCTCCAGTTCCATCCACGTTGCTGCAAATGGCAGGGTTTCATTCTCTCTCGTTGCCAAGTAGTGTTCCATGGTGTATACAAACCACATCTTCTTTATCCATTCGTCAGGTGATGGACATTTGGGCTCTTTCCGTGAGTTGGCTGTTTCACCTTTGCGTTTATGTATGTAATGTAGTGTTTATTCTGGCCCCAGAGAGCACCTAGTTTGGAAACGGAGCAAAGGGGTGATACGGACCCACAGAGGGCGAGAGTTCTTCACTAGGGACTGAGAAGGGGGTCACGTGGAGAATGAGGGACTGGTGCCGTGCTGAGCAAGTGGGCTGCCTCAGGAAGACACGAGACCCGTGGGCGCTGGTGAAGGGAGCGCCTGTCAGCGGGGGGCCTGCGTTCTTCCCTCAGAAAGGCAGGGAAAGCCCTGGCCCCGGGTGTTTCCTGCCCTTCCCACTAGTACACAGGGCAGCAGCGATTCAGAGGGGGCTCCCGGCTGATGGTCAAGTGGTTAGAACCGGGCCCAGTGCAGTAGTCCCTTCGACGTCCCCTCGGGCCCTGACCAGGGCCTGGAGCAGAGCGCACGTGCACGACCCATCGACTCTGTGGGATGAAGGCCCCTGTGTCAGCCGGGGGAGGGGGGCCGGCTGGCCACCCGTCCCCGCGGTGACTCTAGCTGACGAAGCCCCAAGCCCCCGGGACGGAGGGGCCTGCCTTCCCTGGGGACGGCAGACACTGAGAGCTGTCAACTGGCTCAGGAACCGACCGGAAACTCCACACCTGTGTGTGGACCCCGGCCGTGTACCCGACACAGACCCATGCATCCTGGAATGTTCTAGTTTAAACAGAGGACTTCCTTCTGAGGCTTTTGCTCCCAGGTGGTACCTGGTTTGAACAGAGAACAAGAAAAGGCAAATAGGCACCTCGAGGACCAAAGTTCTTCACTGCAGGAGAGAACGGGCTCCAGTGAGAACCCAGTGCCTTCTCCACCTCTGATCTCCTGTCGGGGGGGGGGGGGGGGGGGGGGGGCAACAGCCCCACAGGCAAGGCCTCTAACTAGCGGCGACAGCAGAAGAAAGCACGGTGTCGTGACCGACAGGGAAAC